TTGTGTAAGAAATGTAAATTTTAACACTATTATTTCGGTTCCGCACTTAATTTATAACGTATTTCTTTTCAAGTTTTGGGTCATTACATAACTCGTTGCGGTAAGTATGCAGTAAATGATTTTATTAATGAAAAACGAATTTACTTAAATTGAGAGCTCCATTAATTGTTTTTATGATTTCTACCAACTTTCATTTTTATGTCGGTAAGTGCAGTTATTTCAATTAAAAAAATTAGTCGCTACAGAATATTTTGTTGTTGTTAAAATACATTATAACTTGCTAAAACTAATCTTAATACACTAAAAAGTTAAGTATTTAGTATATTTGAATCAATTACTATAGGTCAACTATTGTAAATTTATAGTATAATATAAAATGGCGAGTTATATGTTTTTATTAAAATTCGAACTCGTAATTTACAAAAAAAGGCACATAAGACCTGTCGAAAAATGACTAATATTATAAGAGCAATGTATTTACTAAGGAATGAATTAGTATTACAAATTAGGTCTGATCTAATATTTGCTTGATTAATTTTGTACTATAGAAAATAATTATTTAAGTGATTGAGTTATTTTTTAAGATAATTTTTTTTATATAAATTAAACTTAAAAACTAATAATAAATATATAGTATGAATTTTATTTTATTTTTTCTAAAAGACCCATTTCATAATTTACTATTATTTTTAAAAATTCTCTCTCAATTTTAAAATTAAAAATTAAAAATAAAAGAATTACCATGTATTAAACATGGACATAACATATTTATACATAAATATATTTATAATATAAGTTAAAAAAATATTCTCATATTTATACATAAATATTTTCTATACCCATTTATTAAATAAGTCAATTTTGTATCACAGTGCTTGTCACTACCAGTGCAGATGGAATAAAATAGTACAAACCAAATGGAATGTATCTCATCATCTGCAACACTTAGATTATTGGGTAGAAGACACAATTCCATTGTCTTAAAATCTTCAGAAACTGATAAAAGTGTAACTATACATAATTTTACAGAAATATTATATAATGAAATTTAAATCTACAGTGATTTAGTGGTTAAAGTTTTTGTATTCTACTTAAAATTATGTGTTCAAACTTTACTAATAATATAAAATACGCAACTTAGTATATATATTATAGGTTGGTGGTGACTGACTTATAATTTTAATGTAGTAAAACCGATAATTTAACTTATTAGTGTATTGATCGAATTATAGTAATCAAGTAAGATTAATTCTCAATGAGTCTATTACGTTTTTAAACGAAATAAATATTTTATTACGGTTAACTTCTCTTAAAATAAGCACAACGAATTAAAAATTTAACCTAATATTTTCTCTTATTCAAAAAAAAAACTTAGAAGACTTCGGCTGTTCTATTTTGGAAGGAACCAAACTGACAAAGATAAAGAATGGGATTGAAGCATAGACATTGATATATCAGCCGAGAAATTTCTCTGTACAGAATTTTGACCATATAAAATATTTATAGAAGCAACTTTGATGTGAAAATTTCAACATTTAACTTGTTGGTTTATTGCTTTTAATTCTTGATTCTAACAGGTTTCCCAGGACTATCTCCTGAATCGTTTCATTCCCTGACAGGCCAGCGTGCCCTCGAGGTCTCCTATAATCCGAGCTATTCGAACTTCAAGACCTCTTTGGATCTCCTGGAAGAGAGCTCTGATGGTGTCAGCAAACCGGTTTATGTCAAAGCTGGAAGAGCTGTCAAACTCTTGAGGGATTCCAATGAAAGTAGAAGCAATCTTTGACTGAATTTCCATCAATTTTTGTCCGGTTGCAACCATATATCTCTGCAGCTGAAATGTTTCTTCAAGAAAATGCTCAAGACTTTTTGTATCTCCTTTGCTTGTTTCTGCACCGAGACCTTCACAACTGGTTCCAAGATCATTCTCATGCTGAAATTAATAACAAACAATAGTTAGTCGTTCCAAGTTTTATTTTTCATTACACGAGTAACAAAAAATATGGCAATCACCAAAATTCTTCACTTTATTTATGGTTAAAGCCAATAGAAAATAATAGATTAATCGGATTAATCTTCAAGCTGACTAAAAAATTCATATATATTATTCACGTATTAACAAGTCCCCTCATGCAAAACCTGCTAGGCTGAAAACATTGGTGGAAGACAGATTCTCTGTTACTTGTTTTTAAAAATTCGGGTTTAGAGTGGCAACTAGAATTCAAAATTTAGTCTTCTGGCTCTAGTATAACCTTATTATCTGGCTCTAGTATAACCTTCAATAATAGATTGAATAAATTATTTCAACAGTTTAAGTTTTAAGATTATAGAAGACGATAAATTTATTATTTGTATATTAACACAGGCAACGTGTATAAAAACTAAAAAAAAAGCAGAGCTTACCATTCGCTTGCAGAGATCATCGGTCTTTCCTTGCAAGGATTGGTACCGACTGACTTGTTTATTCAACAAAGACATCAATTGGAGAAAACCCTTTATCCCATCATCATTGTTTTCAGAAATTTCCCCACTTTCTTGTTTTCCAATCAACCTGTCAAACAGAAGAAGCTGTTGCTTCAGTCTTTTGATCTTGTAAGAAACTCCAAGGGCATGAAGATCCATCCTCGTCATCTTAGTTAAAGCCTCGCTAGGTGATCCAATAGGCATTATCCTTTCAATGGTATCAACCTCGACTGGACTCACAGTTTCCTCTTCACCAGGAAATTTGAAGGAGGCTTCTGTCACTTCATCGAACTCTTTTTCAGGAGACTGAACTATCAAAGTAGCATTCTTGGACTGGTCATAAGGTGAGGAGGCTTCCTTTTCTTTCTTCGCTTCTTTTCCTTGTGGCATTTCCATCAATACTGTTTTTGTTTCTGGCTCCTCTGCTGGTTTTCTTTTTACAGTCTTGACTTCAGACCAAATTGCATCACTAGTTGATGAAGGATCAAGCAAAGAGCAAGTTCTTACGTTGGTCTTCTGGTTACTCAAAGATTTTGTTTCCGATGCAAACTGTTCTTTCAAAGAAGTTATCTCCTCTTCTCGCTCCACAATCATGGCTTCCAATTTCATGTTGTCATGTTTTAGCTGTGACATCTCGCGGTTGATTACTTCGATGTGGGACTGCAGTCGCTTTAATTCTAGTTCTGTGCTCAGCAAACGCCAGCGAAAGGCTTCTAATTTTTCATCTTTCAGTCTCAGTTGTTCTGCAAAAGCATCTAGTTCCAAGCAATGCCTCTTCTCTATGACTGTTGCATACTTTTCTGCTTCAGAATGAACCCAATCTTCCAATCTTTTGATGTCAGTTGTAGTTCCTTCAAATTCAAAAACAGGAAAGAAAGAAAAACTAAGGCAAGAAAGAAATTGGTACAATCATCACCAGTATAAAGTTTCATATAGAAGTCCAGATCAGGAATATATTTCAGAAACAGTAATACTAAAACATAAATAGGAATATTTGCTTAACTTTAAGAAATCTGGGATTTTTCTTTTCTTTTTGTTTCGGTTTTCTATTTACCTATTTCTTCGTTTCCTTCTGGTAATCCACAATCAGAGTCCTTGCTTAACTCAGGATGATCATAGTCATCAGCAGGTTGTGATCTGGTTTTTCCAGCATATGATATCCCTCTTGCACCTGAGGGAATATCAAGTTTCGATTTGAATTGGCTAGCAAACATAGTTCTCAAAGAATGTTTATCATGTCTTGACTCAGACATTGCCCTCCACTTTTCTGTTTCCAGTTCAGCTTGCTTCCTCCTTACTTTTGATAGCTTAACCTCCTTCACAAGAATTTGCTTCTCAGCTGTGTCCAACTTTGATTTCCTCAACATCGCAGATAAGATCTTATCCTTTTGTTCCAAATCCTTATGCATCTTCACCATTTCCACTGAGAGTTTTTGAGCCAGCAAGACTGACTCCTCTTTCTGGTCTAAGACTAGATCAAGCTCCTGTTTCTTAGCTTCGACTTGCTTAAGTGCTCGACCCATCTCAGCTTCGAGTTGCCTTTGGTTAGACACAAGCTCAATGAAGGCAGTCTTGTGCTTCCAGAGTTCAGAGGAGTGTTCATGAGCTTCACGTTTCGCAGTTTCTCTAAACTCTTCTGCAAGATTTTCAGCCTTTTTCAGTTTTTCTTCTAATTCCTTCCTCTTCTGCTCCTCCTCCTCCAGTACCTTGTCCTTAGACTGCACCAGTAGCTCCATCTCCTTCAATCTCTGGTGCAATTCAGATAGAGCTTGTTCTTTCCTCTTCTCACAAAGTCTCAATTGATTCAAGAGAGCTCCAATTTGCTGCCTGAGCTTTTTCCCTTCAATCAACCAACTCTGCTCTTGAGAGGCAAAGATTCCAACAACTTTCTCATTTGCTTTTGCATCTTCATGTCTCCTTCTTTTTAACTCTTCAACCTCTTGTTCAGCAGCCTCAAGCTTTTGGACAAGCTCATGTTTCTCTACATTGGCTCCTTCTCTTTGGATTCTCCAAATAAGCAATCCAAGGAGTTGGCTGCTTCCTTGAAGCATTTTGTCCCTCAATTCACACCATTTCTCATCTTCCTTAGCAGGTCCTGACAAAAGTTTCAGAGCAAAAAAAGCACAAGAAACGCCAATATACATGGGATACAAGCTATCACTCTTCTCTTCAGAGACAAACAAACATGAACTGGAGACATCTTGCTTATCCATTGCTCAGGAATTTGCTTTCCTTTTAAAACTGTTAAG